AAAAAAAAAAAAAGAGTTGGATGCATAACCTACTGAGGCACCCAGGCGCCTGAGACCAAGAATTTTTCAATTGCAAAATGGCAAGATCACTCAAAAACCATGTTGCTTTACCTATGGCTTATTCCATCTCATGTTACATTTCATTATGATTATAATCTTTCCATAGTGACTCTATGTGATTGTCTTTGTCATTCAATACATCTTGAGCGCTATTAGCCAAGTCAAGATGCAAGGGATGATAGTTGGTGTTCTGCCTTGGCGTGTTCTATATATAAAAATATGTTTCTGGTAATCAGGAACACAGCGAGTCCTTGACTAGTATAGATCTTTTAAGAGTCTGGCACCTTTGAACTTCACAATGACCTTGCAAGAACATAGGCAGGATGGGTGTTGCTAATCCCATGTTAAAGATGAGGAAAGTAAGTCTCAGGAGAGCGAGCAGTGTCTTGCTAAAGGATCCTAAGTGAGCAACAGAACCAGTACTCGAGTTCAAATTTCCTGACATCTATTCCTGATGTCATATTTTACATTCAAACAAGTGACTCAGAGGCTTTAAACTGAAGGCACAGGGGCCAGCCTGCTCTCTCTACTGGGGAGATCATTCTCAAATGAGAAAAAGGTAAAACAGGGGATGTTTCTAGCTGGATTCCTTCTGTCTCCTCTGTAAGCAGGTCCAGGGCCAGAGCAGAGGAAAGAAGCTGCTTAGGTGGTGGACTCTGGCTTTCAGTAGAGGCTGGGCTCACATCTCTCTTCACACCCCAAACAGGTCATCTGACAAGCCACAGGTATTTAACGGGACTCAGGCATGTTCCTTTTGCTCTCTGGCTCCTGGGTTCTACTGAAAGCCCCGGGACAGTGGGACCAGCTAGGACCCTTTCCCTTTATTGGGGAAAAATGCCTCCCCTTCCCTCTGTCTGACTCCCTTTAACTTCTCCTCCTTTCCCTTGTTCCTAGTCTCATATTCACAAAGTTCTGTCTGGGTGTAGCCTAGATACCTCTTGCTGTAATTACCCCCTTTTATTTTTTGTCCTTAAGGAAGTTGGAAAAGATCAGCGGGTCAGTCTCCGTCCAGACCCCTCTTGTACTTTTTCTAATGCCAAATAATCATACTGTATGGACCCATGGTCCTCACTACACTTGCAGGGCTAAATTTAGGGCACAAAATAATGCCCTAACCAAGGCCGGATTTAGGGAGAGTTGTCCACCTGTCTCGCTACTATAGTCCTGTTTCCACTACCCAGCTTTTGCTAGATCCCTTAGTTTTCAAACTGATTTGACAACTGCTTTTCCACCAGCTCATGGTCCTCTGGGACCTTCCAGAGCCCCTTCTGCACTTCTATTCACCCTGTACCCGTGAGTCACTGCACTCAGCTCTTGGGAACAGCATTCACACCCGGGCTTCTGGGTTTCTGACTCACAAAAGTAAAATGGATGGCTCTGGGGTATGAGAAACAGACACTGCATCTGTGGGTGGATACTCCACAGAAGCTGCAACATTTCCCTGGAGAGACGAACTGGCCAGTTCCTTGTACTCGCACACTGAGAGCAGCTGTGCAGATCTGCGTAGACCACTGAATGGAAGGTAGGTCCTGGACATACCACCTGGGTGTTTAAAGAAGGTCCAGGGGAAGCACAGTAGGTAGATCCCTTGGGACAGTCCGTGTCACCCAAATACAAGATAGGGCCTGACTGCGAATGGGAGGGGGGCCTAGGTGATGATGTCATTCATTAACTCTCAATCTTGCAACTCAGCAGTGGAGGCCCTTCCTACTCACTAGTGTCATGAGCAGTCCTAGTTTTCCCAAGTGGGCAACAATGAACTTGTTCATAATGCAGCTTTGTAAGCGGTCAGTCTCCTCCCCGGCAAAGCCCACTTTGGAAAATGCTCAACTTTATTATTTTGTATGCCTGCAAGGGACACACACAGGCACAGGGATACACACAGAGACCTGGGAACACAGACACATGCAGACAGACAGACACGGACACCCAGGCAGATGAAACGTACGCACGCACACAGGCACAGGCATACAAACACACCAAAGCCAAAGAATGTTAGCACGAAGAGAGTCATTTAAGGAGCTTGGCTCCCTTACTCATAGAGGAGGAAGTCCTCCTGCTGCAGTGAGGGGACTAGCTCAAGATCACACAGCTTGTTTTTATGATTTCTTTACTTCTCTGTCCTGAACTCTGAACTTTGTCCACGAGCTCTGCGGGAGTGCTATGCTTTGCTTAGGGTCTAGCTCTCTGCGCCCCAGTCAGGGAATTAGACCTGAGCAAAGAGCCGGGGTGATCATGGGGCTCACTTTGTGTGGTTCTCTTCTGTGGATGGTTGTATTTCCCCAAATGACCACAATAATACCTCCCATTCCCATGCTCTTCTTACAGTGACTTCATGCTCCTGCCACCAACTGTAGGGTCTGCGTTCCCTCCCCTTGACCTGGAGCTTGTGACTGCTCCAGGCAATGGGGTACAGCAGAAGCAATGCTACGAAACTTCCTCATCTCACTTATGAAGAGGATAGGGCTTCTGCTTGCCCTCTCTCTCACCCTATCGCTCTCTCTTGGAATCCTCATCCTGGAGACTCAACCACCATGTTTGGGCCCAAACTAGCCCACCTGGAGAAACCATGTGGAAAGGCCCACGGGAGAGAATGGGGGCCCCCAGCTGACAGCCAGATAGGTGAGTAAAGAGCTTTTAGATGATTCCATCCCCGGACATTGTAGAGCAGAGACAAGGTGCCCTCATGCGCCCTGTTTGAAATTCTGACCCACAGTATCTATGAACATAATACATGTTTGTTTTACCTCACTAAGTTCTGGGGTAATTTATAATGTTGCCATAGTAACGGCAACACCATCTCTTAGGAATGATAGCTCTGTGTCGCCTGTTGTCCAATGCTGAAAATAGTTGCCTTACGTATTTTGTCCTGTGCTATTGTTCTAGGAGAGCTAGTCACTGAGCCAGTACTTTATTTCTTTTATTTTTTACAGATTTTTATTTATTTATTTGTTTGAGAGAGAATGAGCATGAGAGGGGAGAGGGGCAGAGAGACAAGCAGACTGAGCCGGGCTCGATCCCAAGATCCCGAGATCATGACCTGAGCTGAAGTCAGATGCTTAACTGACTGAGCCACCCAGGTGCCCTGACCAAGCCAGGACTTTAATCTGAAGCTGTTCTCTAAAATAATGATAAAGATAATAACAAGAATATTAAGAGCAGCTTCCTTTTATAGATTATTTTCTATGTACTAGAGCACTGTGCTGAGCATTTTACATACATTATCTCAATGAAACCGCACAGTCTTATGAAATAGGCATTATTAACCTCCATTGTACGAAGAAAACTGAGGTTCAGAGAGATTAAATGATTCACTTATGGTTTGCACACACGTCTGTCTGACACTGAAGCTCATGCAATTGACCATTTAAAGAAGCACATATAGACATACTAACACCCCCGATTTGCATATATATTCATACCTATGTACATGCATAGGCATATAGAGACACATACACATTTCCAGAGTTTTTAATACTTTTAAAATATTTCTTGTTCTCAGAGCTAAAAATCCCCTTCCCCCAATTATGTTAAATAGACTGCAAGAGACTCAATCTGCTTAGTATTATGCTTCCCAAGCACACCCCAAGATAAAATTCTCTCCATCTGGGGCCACCACAGGCATGGGCGGCAGAGATATTGTCTCTGTTCTCCTGCCAAGGATTGCCTGGGACCCGGACTTGGGGGGAGGTGGGGCGGGACTCTTAATAGGACTTGGCTTGGTAGACGGAAGCCTTCTCCTGGGGCCATGAGGACCATGCACTTGATGTTGTAAGATTCTAAATTCAGTGAAACAGAGTGATTCCCAAATGTGCAAAAGCAGAGAGCAGAAAACAAGAGACCAGTGCCTGGAAGGGGAGAGTGTGGCCCCCATTGTTGAAACACGGTCATTTCCAAATATTCCAGAATAGTGGTGGGAGCTGGCTGCTGGAAGGAAGAGCCCTTCAGTGGGGGCTTCTTCATTCTAGAGGTTTCTTAGATTCAGCATGCCTCTTCTAGGGAAGGGGAATGGGAGGGTACTGAGAAGTTCTGGACTGGCAGTTTTAGGGCCGGAATGAAACACTTAGGGAGCAAGAGTCTCAGGGCCGAGCACTGGGCTCAGGAATTTAGAACTCCTTAAAATAGTGGAGACGCCAGTCCTAATCTTGAGAATAGATAAGAACACAGAGATGCTTCTTTGGGGGAAGAAAGAAGTGATACGTATTATTACAATCATCTTTATCTGGAAAATAGATACCCCAAGTGGATCCCCACCCCTGCCTCCAAAGACCTCACCTTGTGCAAACTACAGCAAGCAGCTGAGTCCCGAGGAGGGGAGTCAAACCAAGACCCTCCACCTCCCTGCCTCCTTTCTCAAGTTCAGTCCTGAAGCACTGTTCCAAAGCTCCTTAGAAGCAGTTCTTGAGACTATAATACTCTTACCCATTTTACAGGTTAAGAAATTAGTCCCGAGCTTGGACACTGCCTTGCTCAAGCTGGTCAGTGGCAGCACCAGCCCAGTGCTGTCTCCTGTGTCCGGGGCAGTCTGTGGTATCCTCTCCACCTCACCAATCTAGGGGGCTCCGCAGCCTCTGGGAAGGCTCGGGACATCGGATGAATGAACTGCCAAGTCTCCGCATCCTAGGCGGTGAGGAACAGTAGGTCTGCGCCCAACTGGGGTGCAGGGGCTACCTCTCTCTCAGCTGTTGCCCGCCTGTCCCATCTTGTCGCTCCCTCCTCCCCCCCCTCCCCGCCTTGTCCGGGAAAATCAATGCAAATCTGTGTGCCTGTGTGGTCCCAGCACTGGCACGGGGGAGAATGCTCCCGAGGCTCTTTGTGTGCGGACGGGGAGAGGGTAACGCAGATCGCCGGCTCAGATGAGCCGGCTGGGTGGCCTGACTGCAAAGTTCTGGAGGGTCTCCAGCACGCGGCCCCCACTCCGCCCGCCGCGCATCCTTTACCTCCGCCTCCCTGCGCAGCTCCTGGCCTCGGCGCTCGGAGAGCTGGGCGTCCAGGCCGCCCCACAGCAGCAGCGGCAGGGCGCGCAGCAGGAGGCCGACACGCGCCGCCATCTCGCCGCCGCTCCCGCCACCCGGGCGCGGGC